AGCGAGGGAGAGAATAGGTCCCCTTAAAAATCAGCATGGCAGCCTACGTATAAAGCCCCAGGAAATGGGGAATTTTAATGGTTATTTCTCCTCCATGTTTACTGAGGATAGAATCATGGATGCCAAGGAAATAAGGTAAAGAAGTGAAGATATTTTGGACCGCATACATATTACCATAGACGTGGTGTTTGCAGCCCTAAGGTGGATGAATTACCTGTGCCTGACCATTCTCGGATGTTGTGGAAGGCTAGGCAAGAACATGCAGAGGCCCTTGCAGAGATTTTTGCTTCATGTGTAGCCACTGGTGAAGTTCAGGAAGACTGGAGGGTGGCTAATGTTGTTCTATAGTTTAAGAAAGACAAGCCAGGGAACTACAGGCCAGTGAGCCTGATATCAGTGGTAGGCAGGTTATTGGAGAGGATACTGAGGGATAGGATCAACCAACATTTGGACAGTCAAGGTCTGATTAGAAATAGTCAGCATGCATTTGTGCGTGGGAAGTCATGCCTGACAAATCTTTTAGAGCTTTTTGAAGAGGTAACCAAATGGATAGATGAGGGTAGGGCTGTGGATGTTGTCTATATGGACTTTAGTAAGGCCTTTGACAAGGTCCTACATGGCAGGCGAGTAATAAGGTTTGGAGCAGCAGGAGTGCGAGCCAGGGTGCTGACGGGAAGGTAAGATTTTTCTTTTCCTTTTTAAAAACTTACCTCGTGCAGCAGCAGCCTTCTTGTTTGGAGCAGCGGGTGTGTCTGCAGAGAACGCGAACCAGGTAGGAACTAATATATTCAGGCATTGGCTAAGGTAAGGCTTTTTTTTATTCTTCTGGAAATCTAGAGTAGAGGGAATCAAAGGTGGGGCAGTTACATGCTCCTCGTGCACGATGTGGGAGGTAAGGGTCACTGCTGGAATGACCAGAGAAAGGGTAGGGCGGATCAAGGATTGTAAAGGGAATTTGTGCATGGAATCTAAAGAGATAGGAGAGGTCCTTAATGAAAACTTTTCTTCGGTATTCACAACTGAGTGGGATTTGGTTGTGGAGGAGGACAGTGAGAAACAGGCTGGTAGGCTAGAGGAGGTTGATGTTAGTAAGGAAGATGTACGAGGGATTTTGAGGAACTTGAAGATAGAGAAGTCCCCTGGGCCTGATGGAATTTATCCAAGGATTCTACGGGAAGCGAGGGAAGAGATCGCAGGGCCTTTGGCGATGATCTTTTTGTCCTCACTGTCCACGGGTATAGTGCCAGAAGATTGGAGAGAGGCAAACGTCATTCGCTTGTTCAAAAAAGGGAATAGGGATAACCCCGGAAATTACAGGCCACTCAGTCTTACGTCAGTGGTGGGCAAGTTATTGGTAAGGGGTCTGAGTGATAGGATTTATGATCACTTGGAAAGGCACAGTTTGATTCGTGATCGTCAGCATGGATTTGTGAGGGGTAGATCATGCCTCACAAACCTTACTGAATTCTTTGAAGAGGTGACCAAACACTTAGATGAAGGTAGAGCAGTGGATATGGTATACATGGATTTAAGTAAGGCGTTTGATAAGGTTCCCCATGGTAGGCTCATGCAGAAGGTAAGGAGGCATGGGACTGGGGGGAAATGTGGCAGGTTGGATTCAGAATTGGCTGACCCTTAGAAGACAAAGGGTGGTAGTGCACAGAAAATATTCAACATGCTGCTCGGTTATGAGTGGTGTACCACAAGGATCTGTTCTGGGTCCTCTTCTATTTGTAATTTTCGTAAATGATTTAGATGAAGGAGTGGAAGGGTGGTTTCGTAAGTTCACGGACGATACGAAGGTGGGTCGAGTTGTGGATAGTGCGGAGGGCTGCTATAGGTTACAAAGGGACATTGATTGGGTGCAGAGCTGGGGTGAGAAGTGACAGATGGTGTGAGGTGATTCATTTTGGAAGAACAAACTTGAAAGCAGAATACAGGGTTAACGGAAAGATTCTTGGCAGTGTGGAGGAGCAGTGGGATCTTGGGGTTCATGTCCACAGTTCCCTGGAAGTTGCCACACAAGTAGATAGAGTTGTTAAGAAGGCGTATGTTGTGTTAGCTTTCGTTAATAGAGGGATTGAGTTCAAGAGCCGTGAAGTTAAGCTCCAGCTATACAAAATCCTGGTTTGGCCACATCTGGAGTATTGTGTCCAGTTCTGGTCGCCTTATTACAGGAAAGATGTGGAAGCATTGGAAAAGGTGCAGGGGAGATTTACCAGGACGTTGCTTGGAATGGAGGGAAGGTCTTATGAGGAAAGGTTGAGACAGCTAAGGCTTTTCTCTTTAGAACGATGGAGGTATACAACATGATCAGAGGCATAGATAGAGTGGACAGCCAGAGACTTTTTCCTCGGGTGGAGGTAGCTATTACGAGGGGGCATAGTTTTAAAGTGAGTGGAGGTAGATAAAGGGGAGACATCAGAGGTAGGCTTTTTACACAGAGTGTGGTCGGGGCGTGGAATGCATTGCCGGAGACGGTAGTGGAGTCGGCCTCATTAGGGGCATTTAATCGGCTATTAGACAGGCATATTGATGATAGTATAAGGTTGGGGGGGGAGGTTAGATAGACCTTAGGATTAGGGTAAATGTTTGGCACAACATTGTGGGCCGAAGGGCCTGTACTGTGCTGTATTGTTCTATGTTCTAACATTAGGTTGCATGGGATCCAGGGAAAGCTAGCTAATTGGATTAAAAATTGGCTTGATGGTCGGAAGCAGAGCGTGATGGTTGAAGGTTGTTTCTTGGACTGGAGGCCTGTGACTTGTGGTGTGCCACAAGGGTCGGTGCTGTGACCTTTGTTATTCGTTATTAACATAAATTTTCCGGATGTGAATGCACAAGGCATGATTAGTAAATTTGCGGATGATGCAAAATTCGAAGGTATCATTGATAGTGAGGAATGTTATCAAAAATTAGAGGGATCTTGATCAGATGGAGAAGTGGGCTGAGGATTGGAAAATGCACTTCAATACAGATAAGTGTGAGGTGTTACACTTTGGAAAGTCAAACCAAAGTAGGCCTTATACAGTAAATGGTAAGGTCCTGAGGAGTGTTGTGAAACAGAGGGACTGAGGAGTACAAGTACGTAGTTCGTTGAAAGCGGCGTCACAGGTAGATAAGGTCCTGAAAAAGGCATTTGGCATGTGAGCCTTCATTGATTGAGGCATTGAGTATAGGACTTGGGACATTATATGACAGTTGTATAAGTCGGCGGTGAGACCACACTTGGAGTATTGTGTACAGTTTTGGTTGCCCGGTTACAGAAAAGACATAGTTCAACTGGAAAGCATTCAAAGAAGATTTACGCAGGACTGGTGGGCCTGAGTTATAGGGAGAGTTTAATCAAAATAGGACTTTATTTCTTGGAATGTAGGGGAATGAGCTGTGACCTTATTGAGGTGTATAAAATCATGAAGGGCATAGATAGGCTAAATGCATATAGTGTTTTTTGCCCAGGGATGGGGAATTGAAAACTAGAGGACATAGGTTTCAGGTGAGACGACAAGGATTTAAGAAGAACCTGAGGGGCAACTTCTTCATGCAGAGAGTGGTGCACAAGTGGAATAGGCTGCCAGAGAAAGTGGTTGAGGCAGGTACAATGGCAACATCTAATAAAACATTTGAACGGGTACATGGTTGGGAAGAGTTTAGCGGGAGATGGACCAAATGTGGGCAATTGGAACTCACTGAGTGGGCACCATGGTCAGCATGAACCAGTTTGGGCTCAAGAGCCTTTGTCCATACTGTATTACTGTGTGACCCTATGACCTCAAACTACAATGGGACCTTGACCAAAAGGACCAATGGGCTGGGGAGTGGCAGCTGGAGATTAATCTTGAAAAATGTGAGGTGCTACCAGTTGTGAGGGAAAATCAGGGCAGCACTTGCACACTGAATGGTAAGCTCCAGGAAAGTGTTGCCAAACCAAGAGGCCTTGGAATGCAGGTTCATAGCTCCTTCAAAGTGGAATTACAGTTACATAGGGCAGTGAGGAAGGTGTTTGATTGGTCAGTGCATTGAGTGTATAGATTGGGAGGTCATGTGGCTGCACAAAACATAGGTTAGGCCACTTTTTGAATACTGTATTCAATTCTGGTCTCACCTTGCTATAAGAAAGATGTTGTTAACTTGAAACGGTTTAGAAAACGTTTACAAGGATGTTGCCGGGGGTAGAGAGTTTGAGCTATGGGGAGAGACTGAATAGGCAGTTCTTTATTTATTCCTGAATCAACAGTTTTATATTTCCTTGGTGTGTTGGAGGCTGAGTGGTGACCTTATCGATATTTATAAAATTATGAGGTGCATGGATAGGGTGAACAATCAAGATCTTCTCCCCAGGGTAGAAGAATCCAAAACTAGAGGACATGGGTCATCGGTGAGAGGGGAAAGTTTTGAAAGGAATTGAAGGGGCAACGTTTGCACACACTGAGTGGTGTGTTTATGGATTGAATGCCATAAGAAGTGGCGGAGGCTGATAAAACTACAACATTTAAAAGGCTTCTTGATGAGTATATGAAAAGGAAGGGTTTAGAGGGATATGTACCTAATGGTAGCAAGTGGGACTAGATTAATCTAGGATATCTGGTTGCCATGGACGAGGTGGACCCTAGGGTCTGTTAACGTGTTGTATATCTCTATGACTGTATCACAGGAACAGATTGTGAGAGAATAATAATCTTTCACACTGCATAAACAGACAGACCGATAACTTCACTCCCATTTTCACATTGCAGAGATTGACAGATATTCGGCAAAGTGTCCCTCAGTAAACCTGAATGTCTTAACAGTACAATGTTGCTGACAGCGTAATAAGGAAATCTCAGATAGTGATGAAACAAAATAATATTTTACAAATAAAAGATTGTCATGAGCAGAATAAAACACATTGTCACAATTAAAATCTCACAGGTACTGTGTTCAAAATATCATTAAATGACAATAATCAGTTCAATTTAGAGTGAGCTCGGAGTTTGATCCATGTATAAAGTTTTGGTTTGTGTTTCACATTTCGTTCAGATCCTGACAGATCCTCATTGTGTCCCACACTAACCAGTCGGAGAGACACTAAATGTGATGTATTGACATTGTTGTAAACTACCCAATCAGGAACAAGGATTTCTCCCATCCTTCATTAGCATTGCTGACGCCGTCAGCCTATAAAAAGCGAGCTCCGAGCCCACTTTCCTTTAATCTGTGTCTGAAAGTGACCGTCGGTATGGCGGCTGAGAAGAAAGCACAGCCAACTTCCAAGAAGGGCGCGAAAAAAATCATCAAGAAGGCGCCAGGCAAAGGCAGCAAGAAAAGGAAACGATCCAGGAAAGAAAGTTACTCCATCTACATCTACAAAGTGATGAAGCAGGTTCACCCCGACACCGGCATCTCCTCCAAGGCCATGAGCATCATGAACTCGTTCGTCAACCATAATTTCGAGCGTATCGCGGGGGAGGCTTCCCGCCTGGCCCATTACAACAAGCGCAGCACCATCAGCTCCCGGGAGATCCAGACCGCCGTGCGGCTGCTGCTGCCCGGGGAACTGGCCAAGCACGCCGTGTCGGAGGGTACAAAGGCGGTGACCAAGTACACTAGCTCCAAGTGAGACACCACAGTGTGCTGATAAAAACACACATCCAAACTCTTTTAAGAGCCACCCACATCTGCCAATGTGGTATACTGCATCCGCTGTATCCGGTGTGGCTTCCTCTACATCGGGGAAACCAAGCGGAGACTCGGGGACCGCTGTGCAGAACACCTACGCTCGGTTCGCAATAAACAACTGCACCTCCCAGTCGCGAACCATTTCAACTCCCCCTCCCATTTCTCAGACGACATGTCCATCCTGGGCCTCCTGCAGTGCCACGACAATGCCACCCGAAGGTTGCAGGAACAGCAACTCATATTCCGCTTGGGAACCCTGCAGCCCAATGGTACCAATGTGGATTTCACAAGTTTCAAAATCTCCCCTCCCCCTACCGCATCTCAAAACCAGTCCAGCTCGTCCCTGCCTCCCGAATCTGTTCTTCCTCCCACCTATCCCCTCCTCCCACCTCAAGCCGCACCTCCATCTCCTACCGACCAACCTCATCCCGCCCCCTTGACCTGTCCGTCCTCCCTGGACTGACTTATCCCCTTCCTAACTCCCTACCGACACTCACCTTTACTGGCTCCATCCCCGCCTCTTCGACCTGTTTGTTTCCTCTCCTCTATCCGCCTCCCACTCCCTATTTATTTCAAAACCCCCTTCCCCTCCCTCTTTTCTGATGAAGGGTCGAGGCCCGAAACGTCAGCCTCTCTGCCTCCTATGATGCTGCTTGGCCTGCTGTGTTCATCCCGCCCTGCACCTTGTTGTCTCGGATTCTCCAGCATCTGCAGTTCCTACTATCTCTGACACAATTTCACTGAAGCAGCTGAACCATTTTAAGTTTGTAAGTGATTTTGGGTCTGTATAATTGATGTCCCTAAGCTTTGTGTTTCTTTTTGTAAACGTTCTAAAAATTAACGCGTGTTCCCTGACTCTCTGTCCTTTATTCTCGGTTGCGGACATATCCAGTCTCCTTACTTTGCCTGGATATTTAGCGCGAGAGTCATTTTTCAGCAACTTCTGTATGTTCCAGTTACTCTTTAACCCTTGATCAGGGCAGCAGCTACAGTGCCCCGTGGGGTATGATACTTGAGTTTCACCCCCGGGGGAACTAAACTAACTGTTCCAGTCTCATGAATAGATTTTGCAGTTTACTCCTTTTTTTTTTCAATTTTCAAAACTGCATGGAGGCTTGGTCTGATTTTTGTGGAATACTGCAAATGAGACTTTCAGCTGTCGGTGAGAGGCTTTCAAAATGAACGGAGACAAAGCCAGAATAGCTGCCGGATTGCGATACCAAGTGTGAAACTGTGGCTGAAGTCTGATCAAGGACAAGAAGGGAGGGCAACTTCAAACTGTTGTTTAAAGATTTAACGCGCTCACCCGGAACAACGTTGTTTGTGTTTTTATAAGTATATCAGGGTGCACTTGTAATGTGAAAGTGAATTAAATTCAAAGAAAAATTAAATTATTCATTCCTCGTTGCAAAACTTTTCCCTATTTCGTACATGTTGGAGGTTTTTCAAACTTGTCCTGGTGAGCTGGGAAGCCTGAATATCTCCCGTGGCAACGAAAAAAAAAAATGACGGTGCGATTTCTGTGTTGTTAAAATTTCCAAATCTCAATGTGCATTTGTCCGATTTTTTTTTTCAGAATGCAGAATGTGGGGCTTTCTGCTGCGGCGGAGAGGCTTTCAAAATGAACGGAGATCAACGGGAAAGTCTGATACAGCAGAATAAGTGAGGGCCACTTTACAAAATTGTCTGAAGACGGTGTTGCTTCGGGAGTGAGAACGAGAGATTGTGTGAAGTGCGCATTTGTAATGTGAAAGGAAATGAAATCGTAAGCGTTTATGCACTGTTCTTTGTAAAACGTCTTCCTCGTATTGTCCATATTGGCGGGCTTTTCAAATCGGAAAGAAAACGTACTGGCATCGCAAATGTGGAAATATTGTTGATCTAGTGCGATAGGGAGGGTGATTGTGAAATATTGTTTAAAGCAGTACTGCTCTCACCCAGAAAGAAATAGTGGTGTGATACTTTTATTAAAATATCCGAGTGCTGATGTGAATTAAAATCAATTTTCAGCGGGTTCTTTCTTTTTGCTTCCGCTTATTCTTAAGGTTCAGGGAAATAAAAACAGCAAGATCAGAAATAGACAGATTCAATTAGGCCAGGGAACGAGACAGAGATTGTGTAAAGTATGCAGGTGTATTCTAAAAGTAAATTATCTGTAGTATGAACGCATTCTTTGTAAAACTGTTTTATACATTTTGGCGGGCTTTTCAAATCAGAAAGAAAGCGGTTGATGATTTGGTGCCGGTATTTTCCGGCCTCCTCCCCGGGCCATTTCCGGATTGGTGAGTGAAGCAGATATCTGATTGGGAATTGAAATTATATTAGGAGATGCTGAACAATGTGACCAATCAGCAATGGCCGCACCACCATTCCTCCCGAAGGTTTCAGAGGGCGGAATGTGTGCGCATTGCAGCATTCTCTGTGAAAGTGCTTGTGAGATTGTTATCATGTCTGGGAGAGGAAAGGGCGCTGGTGGGAAAGATCGCTCCATGGGGAAGTCCCGGTCGTGCAGGCCGGCCTGCAGTTCCCGGTGGGCCGTGTTCACAGGCTCCTGAGAAAGGGCAACTATGCTGAGCGTGTGGGTGCCGGAGCGCCGGTCTATCTGGCTGCGGTGCTCGAGTATCTGACGGCTGAAATCCTCGAGCTGGCCGGTAACGCGGCCCGAGACAAGAAGAAGACCCGCATCATCCCCAGGCACCTCCAGCTGGCCGTGCGCAACGGTGAGGAGCTCAACAAGCTGCTGGGAGGGGTGACTATCGCTCAGGGTGGGGTGCTGCCTAATATCCAGGCCGTGCTGTTGCCCAAGAAAACCGGCGCTGGGGGCGCCACTAAAAAGTAGAGACCGTTATTTCATCTGACGACCCAAAGGCTCTTCTAAGAGCCACCCACAGTGTCTGTGAAAGCAACTAGACCCTCACCACTGCCGAGTTAATTTTAATTTCCTTTGTATTACTGAGAGATAGGCAACATAATATTCACCCTGCCATCAGTTAGTGTTACTGAGCTATAACCGCCTGGACAGAATGTATCCATGAGGCAGTTTCCTGTAATTGCATTGGAAAGATCCGACACTGGTCGAGGAGCATCAATAAATTTAGAAATCGGGAAATAATGACCCCGCTCGTCGCAAAGCGATTCAGAGTCTCTTGACATGATGTTTTCGACCAGATATAACTATCTGCGGTACTGTACCCCCTCCGCATATGCTTTCTTTCCCCATCTCGGGTCTCCGCTCTGAATGTGAGGTTTTGGGTGGCTCTGAAGAGAGAATGGCGGTTGTATGTTTAGCACTGAAGCAGTTGTTGAACGTGTGCTCTATGTTGTGTCGAATGTTTGATTTAAAGATTTGAGATTGTTTCATTTGTTTTATTTCAACATTGTTTTTTTATGAATAAGCTGAAACGAGTATTTAAAACAAACTAGTATCTAATCGATGGTTCTGGCGATTTAAGTCTGGGATTACTGATACCAATGTTCATGGACTAGAATTTAATCGAGTGGATCGGCGTGATTTGTATCTCGATGTGTGTGCAAATTACAGGCTTCAATATCCTTTCGCAATTTAGTGGTGTATTGTTTGCAATGCTCCCTAGGTAGTACTGTATCATATCACATACAATCACGAGTAAATAGTGAATATGAGACATACACCTGCACCCAGTGGTGAGATGGGAGTGAATTCATCCACCCAGGAGCTTTATTTGATCGCATTTTTTTTTTTATTTTATATTTAGACAATCGAGATTTGCAAGTCATAACAGGTCAGTATGGAATTGGAGAAACTGTTTGTTTGTGGAATGAATTCAAATGAGTGGCAGATGGAGTTTACATCAGGTAAATGTGAGGTGCTACTTTTGGAAAGCCAAATCAGGCCAGAACTTGCACACCTTGATGGGGAATGTTGCTGAACAAAGAGACATTGAAGTGCAGATTAATAGTTCCTTGAAAGTGGAGTTGCAGGTAGATGGGATAGTGAAGAAGGTGTTTGGTATGCCTGTCTGTATTGGTCAGTGCATTGAGTATGGGAGTTGGGAGGTCACGTTGCATCTTTACAAGACATCTGTTCGGCCACTTTAGCAATACTGTGTATAATTCTGGTCTCCCTGCCATAGGAAGGATGCTGTGAAACTTGAAAGGGTTCAGAAAAGATTTACAAGGATGTTGCCAGGGTTGGAGGGTTTGAGCTGTTGGGAGAGGTTGAATAGGCTGGGGCTGTTTTTTTTCCTGGAACCTCAGCAGCTGAGGAGTGACTTCTTTAGAGGCTTAGAAAATCATGAGGGAGATGGATAGGGGGAGTAGAAAGGTGCTGTCCTCTGGGTGGCAAAATCCAAAACTAGAGAGGGTATAGTTTTAAGGTGTGAGGAGAAAGATAATATGTGACCGATGGGTGACTTTTTCAGAGGGTCGTGCATGCGTGGAACGAGCTGCCAGAGGAGGTTGTGGAGACTGGTACAATTACAATGGTTAAAAAGCATCTGGATGTGTATATGAATAGGAAGGGTTGAGAGGGATAAGGGCCAAATTCTGGCAAATGGGATTAGGTTAATTTAGACTGTCTGGACCAACTCGTTCATGTCGACCAAAGGGCCTGTTTCCAAGCTGTACAATTCTACGACTATGACAAACAAGTAAAGTCAGTGGCTGATCTGACATGTAAGCTTTTCTGTATATTCACGTGTGAAGCATAGAAAGGAATCCAGGCAGTGTGAAGCACTTAATTATCTCAGAGCACTTCCTGGAAGCAAGTTGTGGGAACAGCATCCTCATCAATCAAAACCCAAATGTCTTCAAACAACTCCCCATGTCCTTCTGCCAAACAAACTGACATTTTCTAAAATGCAAGGAAGTATGAATGAAACAGCTTTTAACATGCTTTCCCTGAACACAGAATTCCAGCCTTATTTTCCACATATGCAAGATTCAGTTTAACATAAATTAAACCACAACTTTCAATGTCCCTGCACCCACTTTGCATCCCACCCACTGGTTTGTTGTCCATTTTATCAGAACTCCTGTATCCTCCTGAAGTTAGCTCCACTTCTTTTCCTTGTTTACACCATTGCCAAATTGTGTCATCTCAGAACTCATGCTATGACCTGGGATCCTGTGCACAGTCAGCTACTCAAAAAAAAACTGACTTTATCCCTTCATGAATATATTTGTCCCTCACTTGGCCATTTACGCTGTCGCATCATAATTCTGAGAAGAATTGGAGCAGAGTTATATATAAATAGGGGAGGTTATATAGAGTAAAGCTTTGTCTGAATAAATACTTGAAGGATATCCAGGATAGGTCAGTTGAACCATTGTGATTCTGGAAATGTGCATTGTGTTTTTACAAATGTTGCGTAAACTAACAAGTGGTCGCTGACCCTGTGTGCACCTTATTCTTGGATGCATTCACATGTATTCCGTTTTCTCTGTCTGTACAAAGAGAGCATATTGCACACCAGAGAGTCATTTTTTAAGCTACTTCTGTGTGTTCAAGTTCCTTTTTAATACTCGATTAGTGCAGGAGCTAACAACCCTGGTGGAATACAAACCCTGTGTTTCACACTCAGCAAGCAAAAGAAAATTATTTCCCTCTGAGTTCCACAAATAGATTTTACATTTTACATGTGTTTCCTTTTTTTTATTAATTTGTAAATCTCTGCAGGGGTCCTGCCTGGTGGTAGAATGCTGGAGATGAGGCTTTCTGCTGTCAGCGAGAGGCTTTCAAATTGAACCGAGATAAACCAAAACAGCTGCTGGACTTTCCACCACCAGCAAAAACACAATGTGACCAGGGCAATGCGAACATGAAAAAAGTGACAGGAAGTAGGGATTAAATTAAAATGGAGTTGGAGGACTGCTTGTGCTTTATTCATTTAGAAACTTCCTCTCTGGGAAAGGGAGGGATTTCTTCTGTAAATATCCACCTTCAGTCTGGTACGCAAGTGAGAGTTTCACTCTGCTTCTGACAGTCTTTGCTCCTGTGAGTCAATAGGGGATAAATTCTCGAACAGCTAGAGTATCAGGTTGAACTGTACTTCATTTATTATTTTGTATTGGATGAGACTTTTTTTTTCACATGTTCTGGTACATGGGGTGACAGAGTTTAATTATGTGTCTGACTGTCTCCAAGTGAGATTACTCTTCTAATTTACTTAATGTGGTGGTCAGTCATGTGAGGCTGCAGAGATTTCTTAGCAAAAAACAGATGTTTATTATGCAAGAGAAAAACAATGTTCCCAACCTATTTCCCAACAGCACCATTCGGCCCCTTGAGCCTGCTCTGCCAATATCCAGAATCCAGACCCTGTGAACATAAGAACTAGGAGCAGGAGTAGTCCGTTTGGCCCTTCGAGCCTGCTCCGCCATTCAATAAGATCATGGCTGATCTTTTCGTGGACTCAGATCCACTTACCCGCGTTCTCACCGTATCCCTTAATTCCTTTATTGTTCAAAAAATATCTACCTTTTTTTTTAAAAAACATTTACTGAAGTAGCGTCAACTACTTCACTGGGCAAGGAATTCCATAGATTAACAACCCTCTGGGTGAAGAAATTCCTTCTCAATTCAGTCCTTAATTATCTCAGAGCACTTCCTGTAACCAGGTTGTGGGAACAGCATTCTCATCAATCAAAACCCAAAATGTCTTCAAACTCCAAACAAACTAACATTTTCTAAAATGCAAGAAAGTATGAATGTAAACTGCTTTTAACATGTTTTCCCCTCAACAGACACAATTCCAACCTTATTTTCCACATATGCAAGATTCAGTTTAACATAAAGTAAACCAGAACATTCACCGTCCCTGCACCCATTTCACATCCCACCCACTAGTTTGTTGTCCATTTTATCAGAGTCCCTGTGTCCTCCTGAAGTTTGCTCCACTTCTTGACACAATTTGGCAATGGTGTAAGCAGGGACATCTCAAACCGGATGCTATGACCTTGGATCCTGTGTAGTCAAATATTCAAAACAAAAAAACACCAAGGCTTTATCCCTTCACCATGAATACATTTGTCCCTCACATGGCCATTTAAGCTGTCCTGTCATAATTCTGACAAGAGTTGGAGC